TTTTTAATTAGGTTGATTTTTCTCACAGCAAAATCAAATTTTGCTGTGAGAAAAATCAACCTAATTAAAGGATTAAAGTGAGTAGAAGATAATTATAAAACAATTGCAATTTATATATTTTCTTTAATTAGAATAAAATTTCTGACAGTTTTTTAAATAATACAATATCAAGAAAAGATGATAAGAATTATTATATATTTAAAAATTTTGCTATTAACTATTCAGAAATCGTAACTAAGCGAAACTGAAACTAATTCTGTAATAAAAGAATATAAAATTTTATTAATAGAATTTTTCCTATACAATTACTAGTTTTCAAATGTTATTTTTATGTCGTCATCTGTTTAAAAGAAACGTAAGAAGAAACTTTTTCAATTTCTCTTCTAATAATATTATTCCTTACAACATAGTTTTCTTTGGTATTTCGTTTCTTATCTTCCTATCTTTTGATTAAGTATGCAAATTGATAAATTTCTCTTTAAGGATTTTTTTTCTCTTTTCAAAAATTATATTACAGTATTACAAAAAGTTTTACACAGTCAAAACTAAAATATTCAATAAAATTTTATTAATTTATAAAAAAAAAGTAAACTAAGAAAATGACAAATAAATTTTAATATTTATTATAAATTTATTTTAAACTGTTAATAAATTATCTGTATTTAAATAATATTCCCTTAATACGTAAACTTAAACCAAATCATTTCATTTAAAAAATATTAAAAATATTTACATTTTTATAATTCATTAACAAGATAGTCTTTCTATAAGCACACAAAACATTTATCAGAGCAACTAAGGTGACAAGAGGCCCGTGAAAATCTTAATTAATAATTTTCAAATATGTGAGGCGAGAAAAGGGAAATTTAAGGCTAATAAATCATACTGAAAAATTGTTAATAAATCATTATTTTAATCGATAATTACTCTTCTCTACGAAATTAAGCAATATAAAATCTTGTGGTTGATATCCGATAATCGATGTTTTAATAGTTGTATAATTATTTATAACTGCATTTTAATCTACTCTAATTATTATTTTAATTACTTTCCTCAAAAAGGAACTCTCTGTGGTGGGATTAAAGTCATCGCTAATTTAAAACAAATTAGCTTTTTGAGATGAAAAGATTCTTAACAGATACCAAAAATTTGTATATTTTTACCATATTACTTCATAATTAATTTATTAACGATGGAAACAATTTGTTAATACACGTTCAAATGACTTTAAAGTGATATGTTGCAAAATTTATTTACGTAGTAAAATAATTAGTTATAAAAGTTAAACTTAAATTTTAATATTTTTTACAAAATATTTCAATAGTAATTTATACTGTAAAAAATTGTCTACTTTGGAATAAATGAAATCATAAACATTATAAGAAGTATTTTTCATAAGGAGATTGTTCCATTGACCAAATTAAAGCATATTTCAACCCTTTCCTTGAAGTATAAGAGAAAGGAGCCGCTTTTTATTTAGCCTTGTGTTAAATACATATACATGACGAAAATGTGGGCGTCTAGTTATTTTCCATCCCACAGTCGGACACACCTGTAGTCTTTTTTACTTCCTCCTATCTCCTAGATAACTGGTATTCTTTTTAGTTTAAATTAACATAATTCCCTATATTTGAAAAGTATAATTTATTCGAAATATTTCAAATTTTTAATCGGCTTCATATTATTTTCCTTCAAAATATATTTGTTCCTCTAAATATTTTTTAACTGAAAAATATTCATTCACACTTCAAAAAACGAAACTTCATTTTAGTATAAAATATTTTCTTCCAACATCAAATATTTACGCATTGAAAATTATATTCAAAATACAGGTAATTTATTTATTAAAAATTTCAATTTATTTGTATAAATATTAATCTTTTTGATATGGCATACAATATATACAGAGTTTTCTATTTTTGTATATGGTTTATCTCGATTTTCTTCATACAATTTTTAAATTTTTTTTCATCGTATTTATGCAACATATTTCGAAATCCTTATTTTTATATTTTAGAATTAATTACAAAATTACAATAAGTAGAATTTTGACATATTTTAATAAATTGCATCATTTATATACTATGATAAACGGTGTTAGTATTATGATTACAATATATATTTCTAGATGTATATTTACTTAAACGCTTAAAAATGCATTTTATAAATATAAGTTATTGGCTTAGGTTTTTGTAATACGCGGAATAAGTTTTATATATTCAGCTGTAGATGAAAAATATGTATTGAACATTTCAAATATATATATGAAAATGATATTAAAGTATATTGGTATATCAAGATTTCATTTAAAAAAAGATACTTTGAAACTATTTCTTATAAAATTTTCTCATCGTTAGAGGTATATTGCTCAATAATGTAATATTTCCTCTTTTTTTTCCTTGTTTAAGTAACTTAAAATAATTTCACATAAAATATTCAAAAATAAAATTGATAAAGTTCCTAATTATCATTTTCTTCCGCTTTCTTTCTAACGTTGATCAAACTATATTTTTAACTGATTTTTTTTTATTATACGGATAATTTCTTAAGTTTATATATTCAGAATAACTTATAATGTTTATTATTTTGCTTTGTTTACAATCTCTTTTTATTTCTAAAGATTTTAATAATGTCTCCTTTGTATCTTTTTATAGTTTAACCTTCACTTACCAATGAATTATGATGTTATAAGTTGATCTAGACAATAGGTTAGCTTTTTAAATTCTAATATTTATGACAAATTTTTGAATTTTTCAAAGCACGAGTCCGTTATAATATACATACAGCTAAATACTAAATGGATTATAATAATAAACTGTACAAAATTTATACATTTAAGATTTTACGCATTTTATACTTTTATCAGTTGAAATAATGGAAAGGAAAAAAGCATCTAGACTAGAACTGACTTCTTTTAAATTAATAAATTAAAGATTAAATAATGCAGAATAAAAATAATTATTCATCCATATTATTCTCTTGGTATGTCAAAATAAATCTTCATAAATATCATTTAATTTTAAATGGGATGACAAATGATTATTAATTTTGTTAAAATTACTACTTTGACTCTAATTTAAATCTGTTTAAATTCATATATATATATATATATATAATTAATAATTAATTATGATAACAATATCTTTAAACTATATAAGAATGCGTTATTATAAATGTCAACATTAAAGTAATTAAAATTTTAATTTACGCTTTTAAATTTAAAAATTTAAATTAAAATCAAATTAAATTTTTATAGCAGATAAAAATTAATAATTAAAAAAATTAATATATTTTTAAATTATTTGAATAAATATAAATCAATCAACCATTTCCTAAAGTGAAACTGATCGAAATTTTGTGACGTCACTTCCTTTAAAAGTCAACTATCGCCGAGGAGGAGAGAATAAAAATGAATACAAGAATAATAATAACACTTACCCACAACAGAAAAGCCAATGCACCTTGGAGTGCGTGCATAGTTTGTCACGTGTGTTTTGAAAGTCAAAGATGGCCTCGCCAGGAATGCGACGTCTTAACTTCTAACTCGTGACCTTCCGCTGCACACAGACCGAGATACATTATAGCAAGGCGGCATTATCACCCACATTCGCAACCACTTGTTGATTGCGTACCAGGCAGTCTCCTCCTCTGTCACCATATGATGTCACTTCCTGTCAATTAGACATTTTTAATAATTTATTTCCGGTTAGCTTTTCTATCATAAATAATATCCAGATCGAACCGTAAATAATAAAACTGTTTTAATAAAATGCATTTTATTTAAATTTTATATTTCTTAAGTTTTACATACGAGTATTTATACAATTAAGTGATGTACATGTTGATGAATCGACAAATAAAGGAATATACTAGAATTTTAAATAATTTTGTTATTTAGATAATTATAATAAGTTATTTTAAAACGGAAATTTTGAAAAAGTTTTACAAGTCATTTAATTAAAATTAAGTAAAATGCGTTTTGTATATGACATACTGTATATTGTTTTATTTAAATGAGAGAGTTACTCTTATTATAAAAGAAGTTTACACATAAAAATTATTAACTATACAAAATAAAATCGGAAATCTGTGAAGGTTAGAAGAAAAAAGAATTTGAATTATTTTATGAAATTATTGTTTTATGGACTCAAATTCTAAATTCTTGTTTGTGGTATTTTGTCAAGTCATTGCTAAACCTATAATTCAACTTTTGAAAGTCATTCAGTTATCTTCTAAAGAAAGAAATCTTAATGTAGCTTATACTGTATTTGTATATATCAATTAAAAACTATTTTTAGTTATTTTACTATAAGATTTAAAAGTTATTACATATTTGACGTAATCTATAGATTATTTCATTCTGTTCTGACCACATGTTATGATTAACTTAAATTCCCGTTTCTAGTTGGTCGATTCCTAAAGAAGGGGAAATGACAAATTAAACTTGTATTAGATGTGAAGAAATAAAACTGCAGACATTCTTAAACTCAATTTTATATTCAAATTTAAATTACGTAATATTTAAATACATAATTTTGAATAAATAAATATCAATACAATATATTAATCATTAAAATTATATAAACTTTTATTTGACAGTTTATGATGCTTATAATTTTTAATTTATTTTGTTATTAAAGAGATATGTAAATAAAAGTTTGTATATTACATTTTTAATATATAAGAATATCATAAATTCAATTTATTAAATTGAATTTTTGTTTTAAGTATAATATATATGAAAATAAGTAGTGTATATAAGTCTGTTTCTTATAATGTTTGAAAAAATATTAAGCAATTTTATATTTGAATAATTCTAAACTTTCTATTTTTTCATCCATATTTTTTGTAATAAATAACAATAAAATATACAAACGGTAGTTTTCTATATTGTATTGATTCATCTCTAATTTTAGTCGTAACAATGATTTGGTTTGGCTTGATGGCATTAGCTTTAAAAATTATTTTCTTATTTTAGTTATGATTTCTTTACTTTTTGTATTTGTTTTGTTGAATTATTGAGAATTATTTTGTTGTGTGGCGTCGCCTTTAAGACAAAAAAAAAAAAAAAATCAAACCAACAGTGGAATAGAACGCAACACAAAGGGATCTTCCAAGGGGATCTTTTTATGGGAAATTGATCTACGTTTAGGTGTTAGATTTTTAAGAAAACTCGGGAAACTCCATACGGTCAGCCCGTTGGTTAGGCCTGAATCCGGGATCAACTCTCAGTGTTCAGTGGTTTTTTCCACTCGGCCACTAACAGAGTGATATTAAAATAAAATTATGTCGTTTACAGCACGAATTTCTGTAATGCTTTTTCGATGTATAATGTTTTTATATTATAAATTTAGTTTTGAAAAACAATTCATTTAATTAAAGACATAGGCCTATATATAGTTTAAATAGGCTCTATACAATGAATTGTTAATTAATTTAAGAGAAATGTTTTATATTATCTTAAATTAATGCAGAAAATAGTTTTGTACATTGTTTAATATGACATAACACAATACAGTAAAATTCGATTAAGAAGTTTCTGTGTTAGAAGTTTTCCCGTGTAAGCTTAATTTTAAACGTCTCTTTTTCCCCCATTAAATATGTGTAAATTTTTCCTGTATAAAGTGCTCCCATTGAAGAAAATTTCCTTCTTACTCGTTAGACGGAAATTTTTGTCCACGATCGGAAAATGGACTCGCTTAAGTTTTTCAACTTCATCCTACAGAAAATTTTACATATTTTAATTGCAAATGAACAAATTAAACTACTGTAATTACATCAGGAAATACATAAACTTTCGTGTCATTTCGCTCACAGCCTTGGCTACTTTGGACACGGAAATTATGAGATAGAAATAGCGTATTTAGTGCTTATGTGGCAGTCATCTTAGAAACAAATTGAACCGTCAGGCCACCATTTTGTTTGTTCGTGTTACTGCTGTATGTTAGTGTAAATTGAATGAAAAATTTTGATGTATTGAGCAAATTTTAAACACATCATTTATTGTAAAACTCTTTGACATAAAAGTAAAAATACAAACAAATCCACGGAGATGTAATATATCAAATATTCAATGAGTAATTAATTAATTAAGAATACTTGTATATCATTCAAAAAGCTTTATCATTTATAGAAGAAATAATTCTACGAGGTATTTTATTTAAAAGAAAGTAATTGTAACAAATATTATTTATTAAAATTTTGTAATATCTTTGTTTTATGCATTAATTAATTTATTTATATATGTATTAATTAAAGTGTATTTGTTAAAATACGTTAAAAGTGTTTAATGTCTCTTAAAGTTAATCGATTTATTTAATTTTTGTCTATTTTCACGTCCAATGGTGTGATATAACTTTGCATTTGCGACTTATCGTAATCTATAGGCCTACTAATATTATAAAGAGGTAAAGTTTGTAAGTTTGGATGTAGGAGGTAATCTCCGAAACTACTCATCCGATTTCAAAAATTCTTTCTCCAATATTTAGAATGGAACTTCAGGGTGGACATAGGCTGTATATTATTCCGTTAAACATTCATATAAATTAAAAGATATCATCTAGGTAAGCGTTATATTTTTGGTGTCAGCGGGTGGCGAGGGGCAAGACGCGTACGTATACGAGATAGGTAACCGCGCGGCGCAGTCGCGTAGTCGGTGAGATACGTAGTGCATGTGTACGAACTTGTATATTATATAGATATCGAAATTCCCCCGCGGGGAGAGAGACAAAATTAAGGCTGACCGTGAAGAATTCGGCTTCTATTATACTATTTTAGATGCGGTTTTTTGCATTTTTGATTGCGTTATAATAGGGTAAGTCAAGAGAATGTACACTAAGAAGGGATTTTCGAAATTCCCTCCCGCGGGGAGTGTTATACATTTATAATAGCTACATTTTGAGCCACAACAACGCGTGGCCGGGTACAGTTAGTTTGAAGTAAAGTTATAAGCAAAATGTTTTTTAGTTTACTATAATGTTGCTCTTCGTCAAAGATGAAATACGACAACTAGGCTTTATAAAATGTAGGGTGTCCCATCAAAAGACCTTACAGAGGAGAAAAATTAAAATTTCAATTCGAATGAATAAAGTTGTAAGGAGCATTTAAATAAATAATAACTGTCATTTCAGTAGATTGATAGCAGTGGCGTACCGTGGGTGTCAGCCGCCCGGGGTGGAGGAAAATTTCGGCCCCCTTTATTTAGGTATTTCAATTTAAAAGACCAAAATTCAGTTTTGTCACAGAACAATCAATGAAAAATTCGGTGGTAGTGCAGCGACCTGTTTAAAATAGTTCTATTGGATATTAGTGGTGTATATGAACGCGAATCAATCGTATAAGAAAAAAAAAGGTCAACAGGTTTCGCAGGAATTCCTGGGATGAAAAAGTTACTAGTTCACCCGGCGAGCCGATTCACTAGACGATACTATCTATACTTCGCCGGACGATAGCACTATCGTAGGCGCGATGCAAGTATAGATTAGAATGTTTCAAAGTTTTACAAGATATTATTATTATTTATTGTGAAATTTTGCCGCCCCCTAAAAAGTGCCGCCCGGGGCGGGCCGCCCCTGCCGCCCCCGCCACGGTACGCCACTGATTGATAAACATTTCCATATATTCTAAACAGTAATTCTTTGTTCTTTTTGTGCTGTGGACCCCTCCAAGAGTCTGGTGTAACCTACAGAACCCCTTCTCACATAAAACACAAAATATATTCAATGCAAAAAAGAATATGCATACTTTAATTTAATTTGATAATAATTTAATAAGGAAAAGCTAAATTCCAGTTACATTAAAAGTTAGAGAAAATAAATCTGTAAATCCTTTCCCATATAAGATCATAGACTCCTGAAATCTATCTGCGGATCTCCAAGGGCTTCGTAGACCTTAGGTTAAAAATCCCTTCTCGAGGTAAAGGCAAAATGTTATAAAATATTCAGAATCTTCTCCAATTGAGACATTGTTTATTTAATGGTTTAAATAACAACATTTTTAAGTTTTAATGTTCTTGAAGATTTTTATAGAATTATATTGATTTTATGTATATAATAAATTTTATTCCTAAATGTATATCCTAAAATATTATTTAGGATATCGGTAGTTGTTATATCTAAACTATAAACCAACGGTTTCCAAGCTTTTTCGGGTGGCGACCTCTTTTTATAAAAGCCAATTGACCCGCGACCCCGATACAATTGAAAAAGACATTTTTAATAAGGTAATTAAAAGAAACAACGAAATTAGTTTTTTAGCGTAATTTTATTTTAAATTGTGTCTAATAATTTAATGCGATTGTTGAAATTGTACGTTATTAACCAGCCTCAAAATTCGCGGGTGAGTTTTTGTTAACGTCATGTCATTCTCAACATTTAATTTATTCCTCTTAAACTCTCAACACATGATTCAACCAACTGTAACAGAATATCGTACCTAGATTATACTTATTTTAATTTTTAAAAAATATATGAAATTATTCAAACATCAAGACACCATTAAAAGTAAAAATTGCATTATAATGAACATTTTTAGTTAACTGTATAAGTTGGCGACCCCACAGAAAGTCCGTCGCGACCCCCTTCTGGGTCGCGACCCATAGGTTGGGAACTCATGCTATAAACG